CCGAGACTAAAAAAACATGATCTGATCCAAACTGTGAGTTTTATGAGTCGTTGCTCCTCTAGTTGTTTTCATTTACATCTTTTTTACTTAAATGAAGAATATGTGAAGTCATAAAATGTGTTTATCTGTCTTTTTAAGTCTTACTCATGAACTAATTGTTGTGATTTTTCAAGTGATGCCCGACTGTTGACATCGAGAACTTAGATGTTCGCATTGCCATCACTGCATAGGAACAATAGACACACAGTGGACACACATCACCTCTGTTCCACTGCTGATGAGTGTCAGCGTTTAGCTTTTGAGTGGATTAAATATAAATGAGGTGGAAGCAGCTTTGTCATTTTACAAACCAAAGGGAGATGTGATCACCTTGCAGCTGTTTTACAATGGCATTTGTGGGTCTTTTGTTCACTCACTGATTGGTGTCTCTGCGGCCCTGATGCTTCAAGGTTAAATAATTCAGCAGGAAAGCTTTTGTGCCCATAGAGGACTTCTGACGTTAGTAAACTTCTAACGTCGTTCTCTCATAGCCCCCAAGCCTCCTCTTGCTTGTGCTGTGCTGCCCCTGATTTCCCTCTCACTCCCTGTGATCTCGTCTTTTGTCAGGCGGAGAGGGAGAACCCTGGTTTGACTCAGGACATCATAATGAAGATCTTGGAGAAAAAGAACGTCCAAATCAACTTCACTGAATCGCTACTGCGCATGGCAGCGGATGATGTGGAAGGTGATAGTTGTTTGATAGAAAGATGTTATGAGATACTGTGGTGGAAACATTTTGTGATGTTGAGATCCAGGTTTGTAGGTAATGTAGCCGGGAAACCCATCCTGTCTCCGGTTCATTGGCATACACCATTGATCTGCTCTATTCTGACTGAGCCATGTTGTTTGTCTGTGCATCTTCCCCCTCACCTACATGACCGAGTCCTTTGGTAAGATTCTGCAAACCCCCTTTTTCCTGCAGATTTTATGATTGACCGGCCTGAGCAGGAGTTCCAGGACCTAAATGAGAAGGCCAGAGCTCTGAAACACATCCTCAGCAAAATCCCTGATGAGATCAATGACAGAGTACGCTTCCTACAGACTATCAAGTGAGTGTGAGCACGCACACAGGCAAGCACGTCATGCTGTTTTAAAACAGAGCCCGACCAATAAAATAAAGTCTTTCACAGACATATCTGTATTTTATAGTTGTCAATATGTGCTGATATGAAGACTTTTATTTACAGAATAAACAATGCAGAAAAGATTTCATATTTTATGTAAAAAAAGTTCATTTCCTTTGTATCTGTGTTTTCTTTTTATTTATAGTTACTAAGTATTTGGTTAAACAATAAAATATCAAGCCTCAATTGCATTTCTTTGTCATGAGGCTTTGATAACAACTCCCTGATGTTGCTATCGGCATCAGTTCCCCAAAATCCATATTGCTTCGGCTCTACAATTAAGCACCACTAAATATCTGTAATTTACATGTAACGAATGACATACTGCACAGGCTCTGCTTTGAATATCTTACACACAACCAAAAATAGATAGGACGATAGTGAAAGATGAAAATAATTGCTTATTATTTTTCTGACAAGTCTGACAAGCCATGAATCCATTACATCATTTAGCTGACGTGTTTTACTTTTTCTTCCCTGAACCTTTCAGCTTTAAAAATGCATGTAATCCACTAGAACAACAAAGAGCAAAACAGCTGGTGTAGTGAATCATTCTTCATGGTTCTGAAAAGTACTGGTTCTCTTTGTATTTCCACCATAAAAATGTCAAGACTCTGCTGCTACAGAGCCTTAATGCCAAAGGTAGCTTTCTACCAAAGATTATTCTTTAAGATGTTGTGTCATCCGGTTACGTATTGTCGCGTTCTGTACTTTCACAAATTTAGAGTTGGCTGTGTAAAAACCAGGTCAAACGTTTTGCATCTGTTGTTATATTATATTTTTGGCAACAGTGAGCAGCAGTTGCAAGAAAAAACAGGAAGTGGAGCATATAAAAAGAGCTGACTTCAACTGAGATTAATTCTCGATGTAAAATTAGATGGAATTGCAACTGTTGCTGTACAAACATCTCTTATATTGACCTCTACGTGTCTTATTGACGCCTTTTGTTACCAACAGAGACATAGCCAGCGCCATAAAAGAGCTCCTGGACACAGTCAACAATGTCATTAAGAAGTATCAGTACCAGAATCGCAGAGTGAGTGACACACACAGACACACAAATACACACCTGTTTACAGTAAAACTCGCACTGTTCCCGTGTGTCACAGTGACATTTCTGTGTCTTCTATGTCTGCTTATCAAGGCCCTGGAACACCAGAAAAAAGAGTTTGTGAAATACTCCAAAAGTTTCAGCGACACCCTCAAAACATACTTCAAAGACGGAAAGTAAGTGTAACCGGGAGACTGCTTGTGATTCAGCTTATAATTGCATTTAAATGTTGTGTTTGAATATGCTTGACAATTTCACAGTGACAATAAGACTATCTAGTGCTGTTGGGTTGGATAGGACAGGTTACCTTGAAAAGGTACAAAGGTAATTGTTTCCTCATGTTCCTCAAAGTTTTCGTGCTGAGCTGCTGCTGGCTATAGCTTCATATTCACTACACACAACATGTATTAAGTCCTCACAGTATCATGTCTCTGCTGATACATGCCCGACCAATCATGAGAGGTTACACCCCAGCTATGTGCTGGTCCCAAATATGAGGAAGTGGGTTGTGAATGAAATAATTGCTGTTCATACAACATGAACAGCAGGAAGACACCACTATCAGTTTGGTTAAGTTTAGATATTTTAAGGTGAATCAATTAAGTTGATAAGATAAATGGATTTATAAGTCAACCCACGGCCCTGTGGGTCACAGTGGTATTAAAAACCCAACATGATAAGCTTGTTGGACATCAATTATTGTTGCTGACTGTATTTTGAAAAGTTTTTCTGGATATCGTGCCACTGTTATCAAATCCTCCATCTGCCCATATATTCTTATTCCTAGTTCAACATCCTACCAAGACAGATGGATTGTTGGCCTGAAGTGACCTCACTTATCAATTGTTAACTAAAGCTGCAATTCGACTTTGAATGTCTTGGCAGACTCATGTTTGTCCCCAGCAATACTTTACCAGTTGTTTATGTAGTGGGAAAGCCTTAATCACTTCTGTTTTCTCAAGCTGCCATTTGTCTTCATTTCCCAGGGCGATAAATGTCTTCATCAGTGCAAACCGGCTCATCCACCAAACCAACCTCATACTGCAGACCTTCAAAACCGTGGCCTAGCTTTCAGAGACCACCAAGTCCCCCCCGTGTCCTGTGGGGAGCAACTGCTAGAATGGTGGAAGCTTGAAGAGCGCCTGACCCGTATATGTAAATTAGAAAGAGTTGATTTTAGGGTTGGGGGGGTCGATTCCATTGGAGTCGAGATTCTAGATTCCAGTTCAAGAGACTGAAAAGTGCCATTTATGTTTTCAATGATGATTTTCCAGTCTTGAAGTGGAACTGAATGGGCCCAAAGTCTTGGTTGATTGATTTTATTTGGACAGTTTTAATTTATAACCCTGGTCTTTGGTTGGGAGTAGGTGAGGCGAGGTGTTTATTAAAGACTAATTACCATTTTTCTAATATATTCATGTTGATCATTTTACTTTTAGCTTTTCAGTCATGGCTACACATCAGTACGGGGCGTGTCTCTGTCGTCTAAACTGGTTTTCTCTTCTCGCCTCCTGTTTGTGTCATTTTGCCCTGGTCTGTATGTGCAGGATTGACAAAATCACCTGAGCGTAGGTGAAATAGCTGCAAGGAAAGGGGAGGAAACGGTGCCGGACATGTAGGAAGCAGATTCAGATTTAATTTCTCTTTGTTATCAGAAGACAGAAAGCCAAATGACTTCCAGCACAGTGTGCGCCTTACCAAGTCCTGTAACATTCCCTCCTCTCAGAGTGTAATGAAGTGGAGCCAGTCCCTGCTGTTGGGGATGTAGAGAGAGAAATGAAAGTTCTGTATTTAACTGATATCTGGTTGCAAATGTTCAATAAATAGTTTCCAAATGATGATGCTTTTTTAAATGTGTCCGAGTCCAATATGTGTGTTGTGACATCTTTGTTTCTGGTGATGGAAAAGAGTTTAACTTGTTTTGCCCTTTTATTTCTTCTTTGGCTGAAATAACATGGAAAGAAAACTTTATGATGAAGGAGGGTCTGTTTGGCTGATGTATTGTTCTGCATCAGTGTAAGCTAGGTGTAGCTATAGACTGTCAACTGAGTCAGCAGTGCAGTTGTATAACAGACTGTATATAAAGTTGGACTACATGTCTCCACTCCCACTTTCCAGAAATCAAGCCAAAATATCTCGGATGCTATCGCCGCCATTTTGCTCATTTGAAGCTTCAGTCTCTGCTGTTAATCGTGACTTTTCCCCTCATTATTATAGCATCATTAAAAGATTGAAACCAAACGTACTGGTAAATGAAACTCTTGAACATACATCGGTGTGATAAGAATCACCCAAAACTGACAAACCATCTTTGAGAAGTGTTCTGTCACTTTCTAATTTGGCTCACGTCACATCCATTAACATGGAGGAGGTGGGATTTATGACGCCAGCCAACAGGTGATGTCCGTAACGCTTTGGCTTTTGGGGATATGCCATGTCGCCAGTGTTTATTTACAGTCTAAATGATACAACTCTGGAATCACAATGGACAGCTGCATTCTTCCTGTCAAGATGACCTAGAATGACCTACAGTGCAAATCCAGTTGTATTGTGTATCCTCGGGGTGCGGGGATCTCTAGTCCTTCCAGTTCCACTTGAAGTCTTTAGACCTGGCCAACTCCAACTTAGGTTGAATCACTCAAGGCAATCGTATCAGATTTCATGCAGCCCCTCTGCAGCGACGGCTTCCATTCGCAAGAAAAGAGAATCTTGAGATTAGATTTAGATTAGATGAACTTTATTGATCCCAGTTGGGAAATTGTAGTCTCACAGCAGTAGTTCAACATTCACAGAGAGTAAGACACAAAAGACAAGATGCAAAATTAGGGTTAGGGTTAGACATGACTAAATATAACTGTGGTAAAATGGGTATGAATAAATTATGAGCAAAATAAATAAATAAATGACAGTTATTACAGCAGTAATTACTATTAAGTACTATCAGAATTTGACCCGACATCGATCAGGCTCAAAAGTTGAAAAAATGCTTAAAAGTGATATTGACTCTGACCTGGTAAAATATTGAAACCTGAGTAGTTTTCAGATTATCTTTTGTGAAGACTTCATGTTATCTCTAAGATCAGACACTTAACACACCAGGTCATTTCCCTGAAGATCCTTGTCAGCTGTTTTAACGGTTTGTTTCTGTAGAGCACTGAGCCAATATCATTTCCACCTGTCCCTGGAAACAATGCAGCCGCAAAACAAGAAGTTAACAATTGACTAAAAGGGAACAGAAATCATTGTGCTATTGTTATTCATTCACATTTCCCGCTGCCGCCGCCGCTGCTGCTGCTGCTGGTCTGATGAAGAACCCAAACATTTTTCACACTCAGACTCACTTACATCTGAGACATGATAAAAAATGGCCAGAGCCTGATATTTTGCATTTGCAAACATGAAAGTATTGATATGTGTGTATGTATGTACTGTTTATATGTATATATACAGTTTATGTGTGTATGCATGTGTGTTTGTGCATAATCTAAGTGTTTTGGCAACCTTGTCTTGTATGTTGGCAGTTCAGATACATTACAAAACTGCCCTATCTCACAATGTTGGGTTGTTTCCTGACCAATATCACATCCTTCATGTTTAGTGCTAATCTGTCCTGTGGTTTTTGTATAATCCTGCTAAACAGCAGGCAGACAAACAAACACAGATAAGAGATAATAAAATAAACTTAATGATGCTTCAGCACTTCTACCTTATTTATCCTGTCGTCCAGAAACTTGTACAGTGTTGAATCTGATGACTGACTTTCATTATTTACAGCAGTTACTCCCCATGAGGATAAACTTTGGTGATCCCTTAAATCCTTTGAGGACAGCATTAAGACGAGAAAAACTCTGTGTCTATGAAATACATTTACAATTTTGATAAGCAAAAGCATGTTTCCCCCAGAGACAAAAGCAAAAATTCCATCCATCAGCCCTGCCCCTCCGAGTTCAGCAGTCCTGCTCTCTTCAGCGCCTTGTCCACGTTGAGAACCAGTTGTTCTTGGAAGTCCCACAGCCGTTTGTCCACATTGAGCTGCTCCACCGTCAGCTCCCCCTGCAGAGCTACGCGGACGTGAATGAGCCGACAGACCCCTGGGGGAACCTCGAAGCTTTTTCCCATAAGCTTGATCGCCCCGTGCACTGAAGTCTGCTCCACCAACCTGTGTTTGGACAGAGACATGAATTAGTTACAAACAATACTGTTCACAATACGCTCCCACTGATGTAATTTCTTTCTGGGGTCTCCTTTTAGTGGTGCCTAACAAAGTACATGGCAAAAAATGAAAGAATACAAATAAATGGTATTCAATCAATTAAATTTGAAGCGCCAAATCACAACATATTAAGGTAAGGACTTTAAAATTTATAGAGAAACCAAACGGTTCCAATAATGAGCAAGCACTTTGGCGATTGTAGAGAGACCTTTAACTAACTGAAAGGAACCTTGAGTGTTAGCGGCCCCACCTTGACCAGTTGGGGTGGGAGGAGAAAATGGGGGACTGGAGAGAGAGTCCAGGAACAGTTGGGTAACGTCATATCTAAGCTCTGTCAGACTTATTGTTACAATGAGAATAAAGCTCATTTTCCATTTTAAATTCAGCAAAAGGGGGACACAAAATGGAATGTCCCCATTAGTGTAATTTTACAGCATGTGAGCAATGTTTTGTGTTGGTTTTAAAATAACTACACATTAAATAACTAATAAAGCAAATGGAATATCTATTCAATCGAAGTACTGTGTGGACAAATTCACTCTACCTTGGCTGAACTATCATCTTGTATGGATGGTATATACTTTTGGGCTCCTCCCTGTAGATGTGCTCCAGAATATTAACTCCTGGCACCCCGTTCCATTGCGGCAGGTGAAACCTCCCACTTGGCTCAAAGTGATTTTTGGGGAAAATATGGTTCTCAATGAGGAACACCCCCGTCTACAGAATAAGGCACATTAAGAAAACAAAGTTATCTTAGAGTTTCTACATTAATATAATATTCACAAATACACATTCAAAAGTATCCTACATTTGGATGCTGCTGTTGGAGCATGTTCATCAGAGACATCAGGTTGTTGTGTTGGTACGGCATTACAATCTCATCAATGTCATTCAGCAGGACGTAGCGTGAACGCTCCATGGATCTGTAAATGCACTCATTGAGCGTGGTTAACTGGCCAAAGTAGTGCAAGTCCCCTCCATGCTCCGAGAACAGCCAGCCTTTAGATGGATTCAGATGATGGTGGATGGGCCAAGGAACCATCTCCACGAAGCCGTCCTGGCTGTAGATCTGCAACAGACGCTCGAGTTCTGGGCCACAGCTGGTGTTATAGATCACCACTCTGTCCACACCAAGCAACCTGCAGGGAAAAGCGATGCAAAGATTAAATCACTAGTTTACACAAATGACAAAAACACAAGACAAAACATATTTTATCATTAAGCACCTCAGGAAGAGTGAAGCTAAAACATCTTGATCATCCCCTGGTGGCTGAGTGCAGAATAAGTCATAAGCCTTGCCTCCTCCGTGTTAGTTGATGGGACTAACTTTGATCATGACTGCTTTGGTACACGGCAAGTAGCAGAATAGATCTTAAGATCTTTACAGTAACTTTCGACGCTGATAAACCAAAACAATGCTTTATGAAACTCTCTATAAAGTTAGCTGCAGCAGAGTCTGAACACTCATCAAGATATGGTGGTTTTAACTAGATTGTGTCTACAGGCTAATGCTATCCCTCTGTAAGGCTGTGCTTAGACATAATATGCACATTAGGGCAAAATGCTAATGTCAGCATTCTATCATGTGCACAATGATGATTCTAGTGTGCTGATATTTACAAAATGTTTACCATTTACGATGTCCACTGTTGTTAACCTCTAACATGTTGGCCATAAACCAAAGTATTGGACAAATCAAGACTTTATATTGGAGTTGCTGGTGATGACTTAAGGAATCACAATAAATCCTCCAGAGGGGAACATGAATCAGTTGTTGGGTTCCCTGTGGTTGTGAACGTGTCTGAACAAACCACCACTGCAATCTTCAAACATGAAAAGGCAAACACTGGCCTTTTCTGAAATAATATTATGAGAGCATGACTAAAGTATGTCAGAGGGAAGGTGACTCAGAGTTTTCTTGAATTGCTGCTGCACTAACCTGTACATCTCCAGGGTCTGGGCGAACTGAAGCACGTTGTTGTAGTCTGCAAACAGGTTGGAGATGCAGACTGTGAAGTTAAACTGCAACTTTTCCTCCTCGTCCACGTTGGTCTTTCTGTTTCTTATGGGGAGCCAAATCTGTTTGGGTGCAATCCCACTCTCTGGCTGAGTGAGAAGAGTGACATGTGTAGCGTTGCAGTTTTCAGGAATCGGACACATGACATCCGTAGTGGCGAAGGCAAATCCAAAGTGGTCTGTGTGTTGTAAAATGTTTGCTGGAGTTGTGATCGACAAGAAACCCGCACAGCAGAAGCGACAGTGAAGGGGTTGGATGGAGTCTCTCCTGAAGATGCCAATGATGCGTATATCAAAGCCCTTCCCCCTCTGATCCATGAAGGCCGACACCAGTAGGTGCTTGGTGTTGTTGAGGGGGGTGATGGTCTGACCAGAGACATGAAAAGGACAAGTTTTGTGACCACTGCGTGGGTTCGGGAGAGACCTGTGAATCCTGGGTAGTCTCAGATTGACGATGCAGAGGAAGACGAAGGTGCTAATGAAGAGGAGGAAGAGCTTACTTCTTAATTCTTTCAACATATCCATCTCGTCACAGGAGAGATATTCCCAGCCTGTGGTAGAGTAAGGAACCACAGTAGGATAGGTTAGATATACACTGCCTGGCCCAAAGAAAAGTCGCTACCAAAAAAAAGGTCACACACTCTAATATTTCCTTGGACCGCCTTTAGCTTTGATTATGGCACGCATTCGCTGTGGCATTATTTCGATAAGCTTCTGCAATGTCACAAGATTTATTTCCAATCGGTGTTGCATTATTTTTTCACCAAGATCATGTATTGATGATGGGAGAGTCAGAAATGTCTTCTCCAGCACATCCAAAAGATTCTCAATGGGGTTAAGGTCTGGATTCTGTGGTGGCCAATCCATGTGTGAAAATGATGTCTCATGCTCCCTGAACCACACCAACCTGACCAACTGCAGCAACCCCAGATCATAGCACGGCCCCCACAGGCTTGTACAGTAGGCACTAGGCATGATGGGTGCATCACTTCATCTGCCAAATCCAGGTGGCCACTTGTTTTTTGGCCAGGCAGTGTATGAGGAGCAAAGCAAACACACTGGTGGTGATTCACTGAGTTCAGACAGCCAACCCACATGTAGCATTAATGTTTAGTGTCTAGCCACAATATTCATCCCCAAAACATCATTGATCAAGAGTCTGACACCGGCCACAACGAGACATCCAAGTGTAAAGGGTTTTTTTGTTTGGATGAGTCAATTTTAATTCTTTAAATCACAGGATACCACCAAGCAGTTTCACCTTTTCTCAGTAAACATGTACATCACTGCTAAATATTACCCACTCAATTTCAGTAAGAGCTAAGTGATATATATAAATGTTTTCTTTGTGGAGCTCAAGCTAGCAACATACACAAAATGGTTATTTTAACGTAAAAAGTAACGCTAAAGATTGCTGCCTATATGAGCCACCTTGGAGCCAATCTACAAGAAAGCCTGACCAAATCCTGTTAGTACCGTCTTACTGAAGTTAGTAATGAATTGGAGGTAACAAAGCTAAATGTCACACCCCAGTGAGGTCAAGCTAAGTTTTTGTCCTGTCTAAATGTATGTATTTCCTGTTTTATTTTGGAAAGTAACTCTTGTTTCAGGTCACTTGCCCTTCTTCATGTGCCTCGGTCTGATTGTCTTCCTCGATCCTGATTATGCTCACCTGTTTCCCATTACCTCCATGTGTGCTTATAGTCTGCGTCTCCCTTTGTCCTGTATCAGTGTGTCTTGTCCTTTCGTCAAGTGCCACCAGCCTTCTCGTCTCGCCATAGTTAAAAGTTCATAGTCACAGTCGGTTGCCTCATTAAGAGTGTTTGTTTTGGCCTTTTCTCTCATAGTTTTCATAGCTCTCTTGGTTAGTGTAGTTTAGTTATCTCTCGAACTTGTTCCTCTTCAGAGGAGATTTTTTGTTTATAGATTAAAAGTTTGTCCCCTCATTGTAGGAGGTTTTTTTTAGTTAATGTCCATGGTTTATCCCTCTAAGGAGAACTTCTTTTTTTTTTACCCTTTTCATAGCTTTTTCCCTCTTTGGAGGAGATTTCAGTTAAGTGTTGTTTTTTTCTTATCCCCTCATGGAAGGTAGATTTTCATTTGTAAATGTTGTTATCATTCCCTCTTTTCGAGGCGCCCTCTGTTAGCCAGTTTATTGTATTGTTTTGACAAATAAAGCCTGAGCATTGTCAGCTCTCTCCTAACTCTGTGTCCGAGTCCTTTCTCCGAGTCCTGTGCATGACACTAAACTGGTTGAATGATAATGTCCAATTGTTTCTAGACAGGAGGCTCATGTTTTATTTCATGCTGAATGGTCAGTTATGGGTTTATGAATGAAGTCCATGGACCTTTAAAGGAGCATCAGGAGAATCGTTGTGTTTGACAGTCAAACTTAAATCAGGCTGATGTAGCAGCTGCCAACTGATCATGGTGGGAATCACTTGTGTCAATCAAAAAAAAGTCAATTCTTGTCTATAAACCCCTTTTTTCACTGGTCAAAAAACTCATTAACATCTGCTAACATCTGGCTTGCATCTGCAATGGGAATTGATTCAGTCGGCATTCAAATGACTGCAGGCAACACAGGCTTCAATCCTATCTGCAGTGATGGAAAAGTGACACTCGGGTTAATGCACAGATTTGGCTGGCAATGGGAAGGGAGTGAATGCACAGCTCACTGTGTGAAGAGGCATTGAGTGTATTTATTCAGAGATAAAACATACTTTCTCATACACACTGCATACTGCAGTCCAGTATAAAACTCCACAGCCATTATACTTTTAATTTAGTTCACTCTCCATTATTCAGTAGCAGTCTGCCAAATTTCTGGGGTAAATATCACAACCAGCCTCACATGCTGAAGAAGTTTATCAGGAGAGATAAAGCTAATCCTGAATCCTGAAAGACATATGTAAGGTCAAATGGCTTCTCTCATTCTGCGATAACTTGAGAGGCCCAGAGCTTTGGAGGTGTGGGTGCAGGTATTGAAGAGAGCGTTTAGGTGAAAGGGAACTATTGTCAAAAATTTAATGTAGAATAATCCTCATGATGTTTTCATGATTTGTTTTTTTAAACAAAACCAAAACAGGCATTCAAATCAAAACTCCAACTCGTTGTTTTCTCTGTAACTTAAACATAACCAAGCCCTGTTCATGTGTCTACTGCAGCCTTTGTCTCCTCCCCCCCACATGCACTGTCTTCCTCCTTTTTTAGCTCTCTCACCAAAACCTTCCAGAGATACACAGTTTGGAATAATGAGTAAATTGGAGTTGCAGCAGTTTTTTTGATGATCATTGTTTGGCTTGTGTTTGGATGAATTAATAAAAGTTAGCTAGTGCACACAGAGGAGTTTTGAGTAAAGCCACATATCATTGATCATATTTTGAAAAGAACATCACAGTTAAACAGGAAGACAGTTATTTTCTACAATCCTCAGTCAAACTCTGTACTTATCTTATGCTGTAATTGCTGTTCTTCTATTCTATAACTTTTCTCTCTGTGAAGAACTATAGTGACTTTGTTTAAAAAAAGTGCTTATATAGTTTATTAAGTATATATTCATGTATGAGGCAAAACAAACTCTCACAGGGATGCGACAATATGGGAACCTCAAAGTTTAACAGAGAGGTTATTTCCTACAATTATCAAACCCGTTTCTGTCTAACTTAAATAAAGTTATTATTACAGTAATTATTATTATTCATCGGCAAGAGACTCACTCAGAGCTGAAGTGCAGGAGCTCCAGTGGTGGCGGCTGAGACAACACACTCAGAGTTAATGTTCGATGTCCTTCTGCTTTGTGACCGAGTCTTAATGCGAGCTGTGTCCGACACTCCCCACTGGTCCGTTCCTTATCTCTGGGTGTTGCCGGCTCTGCAGGCAGGCACCAGGGACGGTGTCACCGCAGACGCACAGTGGATAGAAAAGAGACGACTAAAGCCTAGTTTATGCTTCTGCGTAACGTCGACGCCGTACCTACGCCGTCGACGTGACACAGTCGTTGAGCATTCGAAGTTCTGCGTCGAGGGAACGTGTTGCTCTGCAATTTCACAAGCGAGCTGCGAGTGTACACGAAACCGCATCCTGTATATACAGGCACGATACACAGACATTTTTTGTGGGAAGTTTCTCAAGCCCAAAAAAAAAGGGCACTCATCGCCAAAAAATGATTCATAAAATTAAGAAAAAACACAGTAGGATATATTTAACTTAAATATTTATTTTATAATAAACACAATCTAATCAAATAGGGTAACTCAAATTATCACATTGATTAAATAAATGAATAACAGGCAAAAAATAATCATAAAAATATTCTAACTTAAAACTTATCAAAACTCTGCTCTGAATAAATTAAATAAAACCAGTGAACTTGTCTAATTTGTGAAACAGGAAAACTGTCTTTAACTTCTCCGTCTGTCTATCTGTTTTTTGGGCGGAATTGATGACAGAGAGTTTAATTTTTATTTTTTAAATGTTGATGAATGAAGAAAAAAGTTGGGCTCCAGCAGAAAGGGCCCTTTTCTCATCCAGGACAGAAGAGCAGGTGCTTGAGCACCACTAGGGGTCCGGCTGTGCACGTGCCTGCCTGTGGGTGATGAGTGTCACTGCACCCTGCTCTGTGTCTCTGAGCCTCTGAGAGGTGAATCATGGCGAATAAACCAGAGACGGAAGTTTCAGAGGAGGATGCAGTTGTTTAATGCTTTGCTGAGAATAAATTATATTCAAACTCTATTAAAGCAATGTTTAGAGTTTGTTAAAGAAAAGACATGATTAAGACAATTAAAGTAAGGTTCAAGCAGTTTTGTACGCATGGATGAGTAAAATGACACACATACACCGCATCCAGTCTCGCTCACACTTTGAATTAATTATTAAATGCAAATCAGAAAGGAAACCAGTGTTCAACCAATTATTTTACGTTTGTTTACATGAATGAAATAAACAAATAACATGTAGTTTTTTATTTATGTGTATATTTCTAAAATGATGCTCATCACCAATCTCAGATAAAAGTCATGCAAGACAGCAGCCCTTTTTTGCAGTGAATGAGGAAATATAATACTACAGACTATAGGTTCACTTAAGAAAAATGTGTTTTTCATTAATCATTTAAATGTTTAAAAGGTTTTTTTCATTACCTCACAATGTTAAGGAGTCTGGGACTTTTTTCAGGCCTCAGTGAGGTGAGCAGGCTTCATCACAGGCTCCATAAACCCAAACAGCAAGAACAGAGGTGGGCTTGTGTGCTGTCTAACAAAAGTATTCCTTATCACTCACTACTGTTTGCAAATCTTATACTGTGGAAGTGCACTAATAACTGATGAGCTTTTCAACACTTTGATCAAGTCAGAAGTCTTTGTGGTGCAGTGAGTGATCTAAGGCGGAGTGATGTTCTCAGACGGTGGACTCACACCTTGCTCTTTAAATCAGCCTCAGCTGTCACTCATTACGTTACACCCCATTTATATCATCAAATAACTAATTAAAACCAAACTTATCAGAAAAAAATGAACACCTGAATAAAGATGTGATAAGAACTAACTTACATGACAGAAACCATTTTTGAGAAAAATCAATTTGACTTTTTAGTTTGGTCCATGTCTAATCCACTAACATGGAGGAGGTGGGTTTATGACCTGCCCTGCAACCAGCTGCCTTTATGAATGGCGTGAACCCAAAGAATGGCCGACTGTCCTCACATCCAGCAGACAAGGTTAAATTCCCAGAATCCCTGATCTACTTTTGTGTATTTTAATTGAATGTCAAAAATGTGATAGCAACAGCTTTAAACCCACGTCAGCCCACAGTTTCATGCAACACCTTCTTTTTTTATCTTTGTGTTTGCATAATTTCAGATAATGATTCTGAAGTGTCTCAAGCGGTACATACATGTGAGTCAAATGAGTTTCATACAAGAATATATTAACTAAATATTATATTATAATCAAGCTAGATTTGTATGGGTCTGTGTTGGTTGGGCTTACACATTAGTTTTCGTTTGTGTTGAACTGGAAAGGGACATAATACTATCCTGCACACTTTGGGCAGCTTGTGCTTCTCTCAACTCCATCACCCTCTCTTTCTTTTTTTGGATTTAAAGGAACTCTGATATTGACTGTATGGAATTAATGTTACTTCACTTCAAGTGAAACCAACCTCCACGATGTAAATCTATCTTGTGAAGTGTCTGTATAGGTGAAGATCAAAACATGAAGCATTTCTCCATTGTAAAAAAATAAGTCTGTGACTGTATCCCAACAAAACTTCCAATTCTTGGTTTATGACATTTTCCTTAAACATTTCAAGATATCCAAAATGACCACTTGGCAATATGAATCAACGATGGGCTGCATGAGTCGAATTCCACACAAATGAATAAATTCAGTTTAATTTGATTTTCACCTTTAACATATAGAATACATCTGTTTTCATCTCAATCTAAGGACTAAAGTTATGAAGTTTCAATGTGTTCAGCTGCCTGACCAGTCTGTTGACTTAATCAAAGACAAACACACACACACACACACACACGTGCACACAACCACAAACACACACACACACACAGTGATTTGTGTCCAGTTCTCAGTAACCTCCCAGTTTAAACAAGATACAATAATATATGTTTTATAATAATGCATAATTAATGATAATAATTAAGAAGAGAATACAGGATACAGTCAGTGTTGGGCAATAAGACAATTAATCTGTTCCAGGATTAAAAAATACATGTGATGATTTTGATGACGTTAAAGATTAGTAGATATTTACACACATCCTCTGGAGACAGAAATAACTGAAGCCCCAGAAAAAGCACATACATGTTGTATGGATGTGATGAAGAAGTAGAAACATATAAATCACAGAGAGGAAGGGCAATGAAATTCTTAAAGCTTTCCAGTAACAGTTCATCTGAGATGCCGTGAGTGCTAATAGACCTGTAATCATCAGTGTTGGCCTTTTCTCACCAGAGCATTTGGTGATGTCTTCGATGTTCACAGTGAACTGATCAGTGTGATGGACCTTGTCCTTTCTAGGAGTCGGGTCGCTCAGCTTTATAGTGTTGCACTGGAAAACATTTGCATCCTGTAAACTCATAAACTGAAACCACAAAATCATTTTTCTTTGGCACCACACCCTGGACACAGGAAAACTTAGACAATGTTGAAAGAGATTTTATCGACTCCGTGTCATGACTCCAATCTGGGTATATTTAAAAACCTTTGCCTGCTGTTTATAGGCTGTTTGTAATTATGTGTTTATCATTGTTTATTATCAACACTTTTTAAACTGTGTTTTCAAAATTGTATCCTATGTTTTAGCTTTCTATTGGAGCAATATAAACCCGGTCTATGTTGAGGATGATGATTAGTATCTGTTGCTGAGCTCATATTCTGATAAAAGTCACTCACTGGGAGTTAAAGGTGTATTCTGATCAATCCAGCAGGGGACCCAGGGCATGAATGATACCATCATCTGCTGCTGCACACTGATGACAGGTGGCTCTGTTCAGGGTATATTAGTGAATGTAACCAGCAGCTGGGCTTAAGAGACATGATCACATCACACTGGTTATATATCGTTTGGTTATATTGGCCCCCAGTTTATTATAGGTTTGATTCCAAGTGTTATTAATTACTTTAAAGGCTCTTTATGTCCTGGCCCCCGGCTACATCTCTGATCTTTTAAATCCCCATTTACCTCTAAAGTTTGCGACCTTTGGGTGAGTGTCTGCTGTCACTTCCAGAATCTAGACTAAAAACTAGGGGGACAGAGTTTTTACCATCGGGGCCCCAAGGCTCTGGAATGAATTGACTGAGGAAATAAGGCTTTCTGAGACAGTGACTTCACGTGTTGGCTGAAAACATACTTTTTTTGGAGGCATATTCCTGAATTTATATGGGGTGCCAGGGTATTATTGATCTTTTAGTATTATTATGCACTTCCTTGTGTTCCATTTGTTTTCTTGTTGTGCAGCACTTTGTGTGAAAAGTGCTCTTTGAATAGATATAAAGTTATTAAGTCACAATCATCTTATTTATAAAAAATGTATACATTCTTCCAGAAAGGGTCGGTAATAACAGAGAAGAACAATGAGGGAAACTTTTGGATGCAAAAAAGAATAGGAATAATAATATGATTTTATGAACCAATATGTGAGATTACAGACAGACAGGGTGCCAAATGTAATGCCAGCTATTTCCAGACCTACAAACCACAAATTTGTTTAAAAAGCAAATGCATGTATTAAAATGAGGTGTGATCAGACCTGTAGTTGGCTTGTTGCCATCCTGACAAAGTGGAAAGCAAATGCACCTTTGACCAACAATTAACTTATATCAATATAGTAATATGTGCCGAGGCGGGTGCACAACACAAACAATCCCGCAAGGCTCTCTGGCAGAAGTATGTTTTGAGAAGGGACATAAAAGATGACACTGGCCGTGTCCCAAATCAGGGGCAGCTTACTTTAGAGGCTATGCTGGTTCCTGCAAATATCTAACGATGCAATGCAGTGAAAGGCAGCTGGCAGATATGAAATCCTCTGTAACCTCATTTCGGCAAGTAGTCACTGAGGCCACGCCTTTGTGAACCAAGTCTGCATTGAGTCCTGAATTGAGACACAGCTACTGACTGTGACAGCCTAATTACCTCTAGCTAGTCACTCCAGAGCTTCGGGACCCTGACGGCAAAGGCCTTGTCCCCTTTTAGTTTCCAACTTGCTCTCTGGAATAGTGAGAAGACATCGGCCCTCTGTCCGTTAAAAAGGTGACAACTCAGTGTCATTCCTTCCTTTTTCAAAAATGTCCTGCTTGTGAGAATGTGCATTCAGCCTGGTCATGCCATCTGTCGACCCTCCCCTTCGGAGCTCAGCAGCCCAGCTCTCCTCAGCACCTTGATCACGCGGGTCAATAGATCATCTGAGAAGTCCCACAGTCGGGTGTCCACATGGAGCTCCTCGAGCCGTGATTTGGGGTGTCTCATTGGGCAGTTCACGATCCGACAGACTTCCAGCGGAACCTTGAACGTTTCTTTGAATTGCCTGAGCACTTCGTGTACTGAGGTCTGCTCCACCGCCCTGTGATCCACACACAGTCAATCAGACATTCAGTAAGCTCTTTATGCTCATTATCATTAATACATTTGAACAGTTTCTCTCAAAATCATCAACGTCATTATACATGAGATTTGAGGACATGGAAATAACATTTCTCCTGCAATTTCAAGACACATTCCTATTTTTCACAGACTATATCCAGAACTTTTCTTGACAACCCCTTTTAAAAATTATGCTCTACCCAGACTCCACCCCTTGCCTGAATGTTCTGTACATTGTCCTGTTGTAAACGTTTCTGACCCGGACAAACTGTCTTCTTTTCTCCTACCTCGGCCTGACTATCATCTTGTAGGGGTGGTATATGGTTCTGTCAGGCTCCTTCCTGTAGATGTGTTCCAGAATATTAAAGCCTGGGACCCCTCTCCATTGAGGCAGTGGACCTGGTTCATCTCCCTCAAAGGGTTTCTTGGGAAAGATATGGTTCTCTATGAGGAACACCCCAGCCTGCAGAACATGGGTTTAGTTTTGACAGGAGTAGCAGGAAGTAAAAGAATTAGAATACAAATAAGTGAATGTCCAAGAAATGTGTAAATGTTGAGTTATTTTCAAATACAGAGTAAAAGTATCCTACATTTGGATGCTGCTGTTGGAGCATGTTCATCAGAGACATCAGGTTGTTGTGTTGGTACGGCATTACAATCTCATCAATGTCATTCAGCAGGACGTAGCGTGAACGCTCCATGGATCTGTAAATGCACTCATTGAGCGTGGTTAACTGGCCAAAGTAGTGCAAGTCCCCTCCATGCTCCGAGAACAGCCAGCCTTTAGATGGATTCAGATGATGGTGGATGGGCCAAGGAACCATCTCCACGAAGCCGTCCTGGCTGTAGATCTGCAACAGACGCTCGAGTTCTAGGCCACAGCTGGTGTTATAGATCACCACTCTGTCCACACCAAGCAACCTGCAGGGAAAAGTGATGCAAAAGGTTAAAATAACTGCATTTCATTACGTTCATGTCGCAGACTCTTTTGTCCAATGCAGCTGACAATAGGGCTCAACACGAGCCATTGTAAAAGTTCTATGAGCAGTTTCAAACCACATGGGAGCAAGAGTTAGAGAGTTTTAGAGTGACCAGATGGTGGCGCTGTAATTAAGGGCCGGAAAATTGAGAGACCAGTTTCAAATATGTGCGTGAGTCTGGTACAAATCATCCCATAATTAAATGAAATATCCAGATGCTCACAAAACTTGAGCTAGTTCTGTGTAATTAATCCCTCACTTATCACTATATAGTCCAGTATATAGTGAATTTGCCATTTTGTAGTGGTGTCCAAATGTTAAGTATAATTTGTATACCCTATATAGTGCACTCCTTGTTTCCCACAATGCATCATGAAAAGTAATGTAGAACCAATGGTCACTAACTGAGCAATATGTACCATCATGCATTGAGCTCACGGCAGAGAGAGGAGGAAGGGCCGCAGGAACAACCCGACCTATCGTAAAACTGTAAATATGAGCAGTAATTTTTAATCTACTCTTGCACTGTTTTATGGTTTTATGTTTTTATGTTCTTATGCTTCTTGATTATTGAAACATTCAACTAGTCTCCTCTGTTTTTAACTTAAACTTTTAACTTTGCCTCAATTTAGCTCTGTCTGAACAACTCAGTCACCATATCCTACATGTATGTCCTTTTATGTAAAAAAAAAACTTATTGCACGTCTGTACTGCTGGAACAAAAGAATTTCCCCTTGGGGATGAATAAAGTATGGCTATCTATCTATCTATTTAGTTGATACTGAAATGTTATCTTCAAATTGGCCTAAAGGGGGCATCATAAATCTGGCCTTCCACTGCAGTATATCGTATATGGTTTTATTTAAAACATTTTTTAGAACGGCTATCTCTGTCCTAGTGGCCTTGCTTGAGTCACTGCATGAAGATTGCAATGAAATAAATCAGTCAGTCATGGTGGAACACTGGATGGATGTTGTGTCGCTTGGAGCTTTATGTTTGTCTGATTGAGCTGCTTCCTTTCGTTGAGCCCAGGAGGGTTTGATCTGATATCTCTGCCCGCAGCTACATTACAGCATATTGACAGGATGCCAAATGTGAGTGCATGAGTTGTGCTGCGGTGACGTTTGACACCACCTGACACTTTCACCTCGACGAGAATAACTGAATGAAATCTAAAAACCCTGAAACAAACAGAAGCCTTGCAGCGTTTGCAATATTTTTTTGTAACAGTGTCAGGTTTTGTTTATTTCTGACAGAGTTGTGTGGTGTTGCTGCTGTACTAACTTGTACATCTCCAGGGTCTGGGCGAACTGAAGCACGTTGTTGTAGTCTGCAAACAGGTTGGAGATGCAGACTGTGAAGTTAAACTGCAACTTTGCCTCCTCGTCCACGTTGGTCTTTCTGTTTCTTATGGGGAGCCAAATCTGTTTGGGTGCAATCCCACTCTCTGGCTGAGTGAGAAGAGTGACATGTGTAGCGTTGCAGTTTTCAGGAATCGGACACATGACATCCGTAGTGGCGAAGGCAAATCCAAAGTGGTCTGTGTGTTGTAAAATGTTTGCTGGAGTTGTGATCGACAAGAAACCCGCACAGCAGAAGCGACAGTGAAGGGGTTGGATGGAGTCTCTCCTGAAGATGCCAATGATGCGTATATCAAAGCCCTTCACCCTCTGATCCATAAAGGCCGACACCAGCAGGTGCTTGGTGTCGTTGAGGGGGGTGATGGTCTGATCAGAGACATGAAAGGGACAGGTTTTCCTCAGCCCGGGGGGTCCTGGATTTGACCTGTACGTCATGGGCATTATCACGCTGAGGATGCAGAGGAAGATGAAGGTACTAATGAAGAGGAGGACGAGCTTCCATCTTAAATCTTTTAACTTCTTCATTCAAACCTGCAGTGGGATTATAAACCACAGTTAGAGGTTAACTCTGACCAAACTGCAAAGAATTCTCCTGAAGAGGTGTGAATGAGGAACTAATGAATGATCTAATTCAGTCCCATTTCATTTACACTTCAAATCATTAATCATAACAGAAGTTATCTCAGGGCACTTATCATGTGGAGAAGGTCAACACAACAATATTTACTGGCACAGAATATTGGTGTCTATTGACTTACATGAATAGGACAGATTGTAAAGGGAATTTCCCTCTTGGGAATAATAAAGTTTTATGAATCCGAACAAAAAGACAGGTATAAAAACTCAACCTGCTTGGCTGAAGTAATGAATATTTCCCAACATGTTTTCCATATCAGCCTAATGTCTCTGCACACCTACAGTCAATCAACAAAGGTATTTTCTGATAAGGCCTCTCTTCAGGACTACTCGGGTGTGTCCACTAGTCGTTGTCGCTGTTATCTTTTATATCTTGCTGATTTTGTAACATTATAAATTTCCATCAAACAGTAGTTCCATCTATGTGCCAATGTCTTAGAGTAAATAAAACCCTTGGGGAGTGTAAAGGCTTTAAAAGATTCAACTTCTCTGTGTTACATTATGTGTGTTACTGCACCCAAAAGTAAATAATAAGAGCAATCAAATCAGAGGACCTGAGACATGATGCATTGGAGTCAAACCAGTGCTACACTGCTTTAAAGCAAAGTCATATCAATTCAAATGTATTTGATTTGTACTGTCACAAAGTTCATCATGACACATGTTATCTCAGGGCATTCTCACATGTAGACGATAATACACTGCCAGGCCAAAAAAAAAGTCGCCACCTGGATTTTAGTAAGTAACTAAGAGCCTCATGCCCAGTACTGTACAAGCCTGTCCAGATAACATCGGGAGCAACCGTCTTGGACATTTGCACCAGGACATGTCAGGAAAATGTTTGAACTTCAGTGCGTGTCTGAAAGCAGCTAAACAAGCTGGTGAAAAGATGAAAACCTCCCTGGAGGTAATAAAAACAATGATTTGTGTGGTACAGTGAATGATTTTTAGTTAATAAAATAAACACAATACATTTTCATATCTAGACCTGTCCCTATATCTCGAAATACTTAATCACAGGCCGTAGTGGCAGATTCCACTGCAAGGAAACCATGTGCAGTATTTACAGAAAGGTAATTAAGAAAAAAAAGTCATTTTATAAAGAAGGAAAAACCTTGAGCAGAATTTAATCAATACAGAGGAGCAGATTCCCCCCTACAATCATTTCCAAAAGAAAAAAAATCTGAGGGAAAAACCTGTTTTCCTCAAGTGAATATCTTATACATCCAGGAGAAACCAGGTAACTTACCGAAAGCTGAGGCGATCCAGAGATCCAGAGAGAAGTGGATGGAGACGCACAGTCAAACGCAGCCTCTGTCTGTTTTTCTTACCTGTGCTTCTCTTCAGGCTCAGGGCGTTACACAAGTTCTGTGTCCAGGGTGGAGCAAAGCGCCCACAGCTCACAATGAAACAAGGAGCAAGAAATAAATATATCCTTCTTTTTACTGAGATTTACTGTCAGTCTTTAAAGTCAATGTCATTCACCATATGTCAAAAGTAAAACAACACCTTTTTTTAATCAATATACTTTACTATATTATTTTCTTTTCTATCAGATGCCTGAATGTGAAAGCATTAAAATGTTGCTTATTTTATATATTGCTTTACATATAGACAAAAACATATGAATTTACTTTCCTTATATTAAAAGTGACCACAAATTGCTATATTTAATTTCCTATATTTCTCAATCTGCCTCTGACCTTTGAGATGAAACAATAGTGGACACAAACAGCTGCTGTGCTTCTTGAAGAAATACACCTATTTCATAATGTTTATTGCACTGCAACCGTGTAATTCAATTTACTGACATTCAATTTTATTGGTAAAGTGCCAAATCTTCATCACACATTATCTCAAGGCCCTTTGCAGAGTGAGGTCAAAGTCTTAAAAATGATACAGACACCAAGCTGTTCCCACAATGAGCAAAAAACTTCTTACTTTAACTGGATGAGACCTCGAGCAGAACCAGACTCAGTGTGGGCGGACATCTGCCTCGACCAGTTGGGGTGAGCTGAGAACAACGGGGAAGACAGGAGACGTGGGAGGAAAAGAGGGGAGAGAAGAGAGAGGACGGGGGAGAGAGACCAGGAACAGTCGTGTAACTGTCATATTGAACCTCTGTCAGACTGGTTGTTACAATGTCAGTTATGGGAGGGATACTCATACATCTAATGATGTTATTAATGAGAGCGGCACAAGTTATTAGGGCCCGAGCACTGACAGTGTGAGGACACTATTGGATTTGTATGGATTATTATTGTTTATTTTGAAGCCGTAAACATGCTCGTAAAACTCATGAAACTAGTAGTAGTGAAAATGTATGTATTCTGGAGTCAAATCAAACCTTTGATAACTTTTATCTCCAAAGAGATAAGATGACACTCACCAAATTATGAAGATGATGTGATGAAACCTCTAGTGTGTAAATAAGCCAAAATGGCCACTAAGTTCAAAATGGCTGACTTCCTATTAGATTTAACATCTGGCTTCTTGAAATATTTTTGATCGCCTTGTCATGATACATGTGATGCGTGTACCCAATTCCGTAAAGATCGCAGTCTCAGTCCACAGTGTATGTTCTACAATCTGATGATGCGATGGTATATATTATCATCGTTTATTTCATAATTGGATGTTTTTAAGTTCCATCCTCCATGAAGGAAACACAACAAATACACAGCAGACAGAAGTGACGCAACAGCAGGGACCCCTGGTTAATGTTTGCTCTCTGGTGACATCTGCTGGTGGACAACGATACCTACTCTCTAAAAGTTTGACTTCCAGTGAGACTTCTGCTGCAGCGTCATTTTACTGAGCCTCCTCAGAGTCTGTGTAAATCCATATTTTCAGTTCACACCGTATATATTCCATTGAAATTGTATGAATTATTTTAAATTTTTTATATTTTGGTGTTTATGTTTTCTTTTTGATTATCTTTATTGATCGTTCTATTTTTACTAGCATAGCCTACTAAATGCATGGGGGAACTGGGGAATCCTAAATTAACCTTCCCTCTGTTTTTTTTAAGCCCTGATAATTTCCCTTCAAAATGTAATCGCGCTGTGGTCATTTCGAGACAGGGCCTAATCATAGATAATGTAGGGCCTGTCTTGAGCCGCTTTACTATCTCCAGAGGAAGTTTATATGTGAACACAAATGTCCTAACGAGCCTCCGAACTTTCTGCAGACCTTCTCCACCTGGCCCCCTCAGCAGAAAAACAAAGGAGAGACAGCTGCAACAGTTACGCTGGAAGCCAAAACCAAAACAATGAGCTGAAAGATGCTAAAATGCCGAGGGAAAGCAGAAAAGGTTCCATATAACATCCGGAGCAACCGACTCGGACATTTGCACCAGGAAATGTCAGGAAAATGTCTGAACTTCAGTGCATGTCTGAAAGCAGCTAAACAAACTCTGGTGAAAAGATGAAAAGCTCCCTGAAGGTAATAAAAACATTGATTTTTGACGTACAGTGAATGTTTTAAGCTTTACCAACAGCTTTTATTTGAAGAGGTTCACTTTTAATATAAAAAACGCAATACATTTTCACATCTAGACCTGTCCGTATACCTCCAAATACTCACAGGCCGTAGTGGCAGATTCCACTGTTTAAAGGACACCATGTACCACGTGTATTAGCTAATGCACTGCACACAGTGTTCAATTCCTGGAGAGTTTAAATAGGAATAAAAAAAAAGTCCTTCTCTGTCATATTCAGTTTTGTTTGAATGCTTTTCACTGTCAAGTTAAATCTACAACTTATTTCAAACCAGCAGAGGAGTCATGGGGGATTTACCTGGAGGACACTTAACCGACCACCCATTCAGATGTCTTATTAGTGCCCGTGCAGGCTGCTGTATTCGAAGTGACGGTTGAATGAAAGCAGCGGCTTTGCATATGTTGGAATGCTGCAGGTCCTCCGGCCCTTTGTGGCGACTTAACACCACTTTTGTTCGGCACAGAATCAGTCGGCCAATGTCTCCACCTGCTGTAAGAAATCAGTTCAGACAGCACAATGCGGCACATATCACACATGGGACGATGAATGTGGACTCCTGCTGAACTCTTATCTGTCATTGCACCATTGTACGACTATGTTACCTGCGGTTTCTTGTAAATCGATATATAACATATTTTACTACCTGCCATGATTTTATCCCCAGATTGCAGAACTGAGAAGTGTCTTATCATGTCGGTGAGGTGCACACTGTTCAGGACATTTCTGATGGGCTCTGCAGATCATCATCATCATCACCACCATCATCATCATCAGAGCCATTATCCGCTCCACTGTCTGGATTGCTGCTGTCTCCGGCATCTTTATTGCATCTGTAAGTGTGGTGGCAGGAACTCAAGTACACTCATAAAATGAAATTGAAACAGGCTAAAGACTGAACTCCTACTGATGTGGATGTTCCTGTTATATTTCTGACTAGTGTGTCAAGTCAACAGTCGATACCATGCATTTAACGTTAAGGTCAGGAGCAGTAATCCCCTCCGCCACAGAGGTAATGTTCTTGCTTACGTATCTGCATTTGATCTTATTAAGGATTATGCAAAAACTACTGAACGGATTTCCACGAAACTTGGTTGAAGGATGTGAATAAATTTGGGTGCAGATCTGAATCATTGGGCCGAACCAAGAATATTTTTTTCCCTTAATTCTTTAATGGGTGAGGGTTAGATTGCAAGAAAATAATGAATGGATCTTGATGAAAAAAATCTGACATATTTAGGGGATTAGTGTCAGTGAGCATGTTCAATTTCTTGTTGATCCAGAAAAATCTACTGTATTTTAAAGTGG